GAGTGTGGGAGTGTTCTCATTCCCATAGTGTAGAGATGTGGCCATGTCATCATGGGAAATGGTTACCAGGCTAGGCAGAATTAGATTTTTTTAAGGGAATAAGTTTCAAAGTCAAAGGTATTTTATCTATTATTTTGCATAGAGTAAGGCTCTGCATAATGGTAGCTGTTACTTGTGCCAAGTTCACCTTCTTTTGATATACACTCTTGTCTAATCTTTTTGTTCAAAGAAGCTTTTGGGCCTTCCATGGTGCTTTCCTTGAGATTTTATGTATTACGATTTTTTTTAGAAGGCACTAGATTTTAGATTTCAAATTCGAAGTAAATTGAATGGCTTCTTCCACAGAGCTGGAGAAACATGCTGGGTTTTGTACTAGTCAGATCATTGGTTGTGATCTTAGAATCTGACATGAATATTAAGTAGTTACCTTCCTGTGACTTAGAGACCCCCTCCTGCCCCACCACAAGACCTTAACGGTGCACCCTAGTTGTGCATCTAGTTTGAACCTCAGTTTCTTTTTTGGGGTGGGCTAAGCACACGTCTAGAACCACCTAGGAGCTTTCATTCTGTTCTTGAACAGTGTGCCGAGTGCTCCAATATTCCAGAGATTGGGAGGAAACAGGATTTCTTGGATACTAGGTAATCCCCTGGGGTTTTACCCAAACCCATATTTAGAGGTCTCCAGGCTCATCTCTGAATCTGAAGAAGCATGTTTGGAAGAGCTGGTTGTGTGCTCCAGGAAGGCAAGGATTTTGCCAATCTAGTGTCTGAACCTTCATGGTACATACTACACACTTAATAATTGATCAAATGAGTAAATAAATGAACTCAGCAGGGGTTTTCAATCGTAAGCATTTATTTCCATGCAATTATCTTTGACCTAATGTTTTTCTCTTGGGGTGTTGCTGCAGTCTTTCACTCTTCAAGAGCCCAGAATCCTTTATGTTTTATTGTTGTTTTGCTTTTTTCAGACCATGTTTTTGGAACTGTTGTTTTTTTTTTTTAAACAGCTATACTGGAATCTTATTTATATACTATAAAGTTCACCCATTCAAAGTGTACAGTTCAATGGTTTTTAGTATATTCACAGAATTGTGCAACCATCACCACAATCTAATTGGTGCAGGAAACGTAGAATGCCAGCTGGAGCTTGTTGCCAGAAACACCCAGTTTTAAACCCTTGTTTCTGTCACTTACAAGCTGATCTTGGGCAAATTTCTTAAATTCTTGGCGCCTTTGTTTTTCCTAGCTGTGAGATGATTTGTCACTCATAAAGTTGTCGTGAGAAATAAATGAGGCATTGAATATCAAGCACATAGCTGGGAGCATGGCACAGAGTAGGCATCTGGCAAGCCTTGTTTCCTTGTGCTCTGTGACCCTTCAGCTGCTGGACCACACAGGGTGGTGAGCAGGGACAAAGATGGCTCTGATCTGTGATATTCCTGAGTCACCTTCTCCTGCCTCAGAAGCATAGAGAAAGGATCCTAAGGGAAAGTGCATCTTGCTCAACAATCTGCCCATCAACCTCGGGGTGCCACTAGTTCTGGCCAAGGCATCAGTTGAGATGCCCCATTTTCTACCAGTCTGCTGTCCCTGCTTACTTGACTTCCGGTCTTGGATCAGTGGGTTTGACCTATCTCTCAGAAAACTCCCGCACACACCCCCACTTGGACTTCAGTTAAGTCATGGTCTTTTTGTCTTCAGTGGTTTCTTATCCCAATGTAGTTATTTCTGGAGGGTTCTCAACTCTACGTATTTTTAATATTCTATCATCATAGAATATTAGTGTTGGAAGGATCCCTGGGGATAATCCAGTTAAACCCTCTTAACAGTTGAAGAAATTGAGGCCCAGAGAAGTGACGTAACTTGGTTAGGTTCTTAGTTGGTAGCAGGTCAAGACAAGACTGTCAGCATTAATAAATATTTGTGGAGAGAAGGAATGCCCTTTGGTACATTCTATTGCCTCAGTTGACCTAGGAACCAGATTGAAATCGGAGGGCTTGAGTTCCCATTTTGACCCCGCCTCTCTAGTCCTCTTTATTTATAAAACCAGGGGAAACCTGTAGTTATTAGTGTTCACTCTTAAGGAATGAGATGAGAAGCAGCCCTGCAAAGTGTGCCATGCTAAGTGGTGATAATATTTATGTAGTCAACATTGTTTGGAGAAAGTGAAAATAACAACTTCCATCCTGAAGAGAATCTACACATTTGGTCTGCATCTTGTAATTCATTTTGGTTTCCCGTTTCTGAGTGGAGAGAACTGACATTTTCCAGGCAGCTCTGCCTTGGGAGGGATCTAGACACAAGGGATTCGTTCCCTGTAAGCTACCCTGTGGTTAATGGCTGGTATGGCTAGTGAGGGTTTCTGTAGCAGGCCCCTGAGCATGGTGGGTGGAGGGGTATACAGAGGAAGGTGGAAGACATCAGTAAAAAAAAAAAAAAAAGGAGAGAGAAAAAAATTGCAGATGTCAGTAAGCCTCAGAATTTCTTTAAAAATTGATTTTAATGTCTACATATAAAATATCCAGGCCACAATTTCTGGTGCTAGCCATTTAGAAGTAGCTCTGCCTTCTTATAGAAAGTACTGTACAATGTAAGAGATTTCTCTCTCTCTCTCCCTCTCTCCCTCTCTCCCTCCCTCCTTTTCTCCCTCTTTCCTTCTCTCCCTCTCTCCCTCTCTTCCCCTGCCCCCTCCCTCCTTACTCCACCACTCTCTTCTCCTTTGTGAACACAGTGTTATGTTTTTAGTGTGTAGGGGTCTGTGTAGGTTACAAGCTCAGACCCTAGGCCAGCGAGCCAGTCAAAGCTGGGTGTTTGCCATCCAAAGAACTGTTAAGGGTCCTAATTTAAAATGAATAAAGCCTTTCAGCAGGCTCCTTGTTTCCTTAAATCAATTTGATTTTATGTAAACATTTATCTCCTTTGCACTTTCCCACCTACCACACCATTCTTATAATAATGCCTTGCTGAACATTAATGTTTTCACCAGATACATTTTGGAGGCAGGGTAGGGTAGGTAGGGGGAAATATAACACACACAAAATGCATTATAAAGAGCCCAGTTGTGGCAAAACTTTCCCCAAATCTAGGAGTTGGTGAGAAAAAGCACTTAATTTGGGCTTAGTGGGGTTTTTTTGGGGGGGTGGGGGATGAGGTAAATCGCTGATGAAGGTGATGGAGGACAAATATAGTGTGGGGGTGGGGACTATTTGGAGAGAGACTCAAGTGAGAAAAAGGCAAGTTTTAAGTATATCAGGAGAGCATCTCCGTGCATCGTCAGTGCCCGTGGATGACTCTGCTGTGAAGGCACAAAAGAATAAAGTGTTTGCGTTCTGATCCATCTTTTCTTAAATAAAAGCGGCTCTCCATTCTAACATGCTCCGATTGCTACGGGCAGACATTTCACTGCACTTTAGAAAGCAGGGGCAGGTTTTGAATTTGAACGCTGTGGAAAGCAGTGGGAACATTTTCTCTGCCCTGTCATTCTGGAGGTGCCTTCGTTGGATAAAGACCCTGGACACTTCATGACACAGGAAGCAATGCCTACCTTCCCGCTCCAGAAGCAATTTAAAGTGACAAGTAAAAAGCAGGTGTTATAAAATAATGAAAAAATAGTTCGCTGTTATTTCTAAATTCACCTTCTTCATTAGATAGGGGTCAGGAACACTTGGCCAAATATTTTTAGCAAATCTAGAGTAAAAGAGCCTCAAATTAAAAAAACCAGCTCTGAAGAGTGTAATTCCCTTTTTCTCCTCCTTTATCATTTACTGTTTATCTTTCCATCAGGGTTTTTTTTAAGTGCTAAATACAATCAATTAGAGCACTCTCTAATTCTTTTGTGTGATTGTTAAAAATACAAAAATAAACAGAAGATCAGCATGAGAGCATCTCACCAACCGTGGCTTTAAAATAGAATTTGTGGAAGCATTGTTGATTTCTACTTATTTTTGTTGGTAAATCCTGGGGAAAATGTATATCTTTTCCTTTAAAGTTCTAATTCAAGGCATGGATGTGAGAGTTCTGAAGGGACTTTGGGACTGCGGTAAAATTTCGTTGTCATAGTAACAGAAAGGGAAATAGGCCTAGCTCACCTGGGACTTTAACACTGCAAAAGCTGGATTTTTTTTTTTTTTAAGGAAAAGGACTCTGCAAGTAAAATAAATGAAAAACTTATTGTATTTTGAAACAAAATTCCAAACATTAAATACGTAAATGGCCGAGATGGCCACTTCTGCCAATTTTTTTGGTTGCTATACTTGTCTAATTAAAGATGCCCAATTTTTAAATTGCGCAGATAGTTTACTTAGGAGAATGTTGGCTTAAAAAAATATGTCTTACGAAGGATAACCTCCGACCATTATTCTTTGCCTTTATACGTTATGGATAATCTATCAAAGTTCTGAAAGGACATTCACACTTATTATTAATCATACAAACCCCAGTGTATACCAGCACAGACTGACTCTGTCTTTGGATGGTAACATACCATTTTGTGACTTTATAGCCATCGGTTGAAAATATCAGGCCCCCTTTGTGTGGGAGGGTGTACGTGTGAGGTGTGTGAGCAGGAAGATGTGTGTGGCCAGCAGAAAGCCACATTCGTGAGGAACCCTGGGATTCTGGGCTAAGTCATGACATTTTTAACCCTGGAGCAAGACAGTTTTGCATGGCAGGAGTCCCTGCTGCTTTAGAAACCCCCCCCCCTTTTTTTGTCTTCTGGAGAGAGAACCCCAGCACCTCTGGGGCGGGCGTACACACCAGAACCCAGCTTGTGAACCACTTCACAATCCTCCCCAGTGATGGTGCCGGCTGGAGCCTGAAAACATCCAAATTTGCAAATTGCAGAGGGTCAGCAACGTTCCTTCCCAGGCAGGGCCCGCTGAAATTCCCCAGACCTGAAACACAATCACTCCCCAATCAAATCTAATATAATGCAGAGAGATAGTCTCTCTTAAAAAATGTTTACTTAAAGAATGTAACACATTGCTTTCTCTTCACAGATTCTTTTTAAAATTTTTCCTCAAGTGCAATCAGAATTGTTTGAAAACAGCAGGAAACCCAAGGGACATGAGAAGGTTTCAGGTAAGGGGCTTGCCGATTTTTCCTGTGAAATAAGTCATCCTGTTTTCTCTCTCCTTAGCATTCTTTTTCTTTTCGTTTTTCTTTCTTTCTTTCTTTCTCTCTTTCTTTTTTTTTTTTCTGAGAACACATTATTCACTGAGGTTGTGAACAATAAAAAAGATAACTGTAAACGATAACCCTCATTGGTAGCATTGAGGGTTTCTTCATTTCATAGTGCTTAGGCCTTCTGCCTCCAGTGTCAGAGCCCCAGGGGAGGGGCACCAACCCATGCTGGAGATTTGATTTTAAGCCCTCAGGCTGCCCTTCGCACACACAGCTGCCCACAGCAGGAAGCGTGTTCTTGATATTCAGCCACCTTGGGATTTCTCAAAGCAGCTTCTCTGCGCCGCTCTACAAGCAACAGCCTCTTCCTCGCCTTTCCCTCCGATTAACTATTCCATGGTCTCCCTTGGAGTCTTTTGGAAAGCGGCAGCCCAAACTGCCGTGGTCACTTTAAGATCGCAGCATGACAACAAGACCCACGGGACAGTGACCCAGCTGCCTGACAGTTAAATCTGCCACCGGTTTCATCACCCTTGCCACTGATGTACTGAGGATGCAAGCTAATAAAAACACAGAGAGAGGCAACGTGTGTCAGGTTGGGGATGAGAGGAACAGCAGCCCCTCTTGGCGCCCCCTCCCCTTCTTAATCTTTGAAGGACCCACATTTAATCCCCCAAATGGCTTTCCTGCCGTTCGTGCCCCGTGGAAATACACAGTGCTCCCTTCCCTACAGAAAAATTAAAAATGTGTTCAACAATAGTATTGAAGCTTGAGACCTAAAATAAAATAAAAAAAAAAAATCCTGGCAGCATTGAGAAAGCTGAGGATGCTGAGCCTCCCGTTTCAGGTGAGGAAAGTGAGGTTGTGGGAGTTGAAGTGACTCATCTCTAATCACAGGAAGGAGATGGTGGAACCTGGAGCCAGGAGCTGTGTGATCAAATCCTTCCGCCGGGGCCTGACTTGGAGGATGTCTGGCTGTTAGGTGTCTGGCTTTGCAGTGCGTTTTTGAAAGTCTTAATAATTTCTGAATAAGGGGTTGCACATATTCATTTTGCACTGGACCCCACAAATTATGGTTTGGGAATGGAGTCGTTAAAGAGTTAACTGGGGAGATGGGTGCACACAAGGCCCACGAGAACTACTTTGAAAAACAAATTCTTGGGGTTTTTTTTTTTCCCACCCACCAAATTATGGTTATCAAACCATCTTACTGGGATCGGGAAGTTTTTTTTGTTAGTTATTTAAACCTCTCTTTAAAACGTTAAACCCCTCCTCTCCATCATGCTGTATGACATGAAGACAAATAGAAATAAAACGGGCTTTTTGGGGATCAGGCAGGAACATTGTGCACAGGCTGTCGGACTCAGTATTTATGCTGCTCAGAGGTTTATGGTACTCAGTATTTCAATGGAAACATAAATAACTTCAGTCCCCAAAAGTGTGAAATTCAAAAGAATTCCAAAGTGCCTCGATGACCAAAGCTCAGCTTTCACTTCCGGAAGAAACAGAGGCAGGAAGAGAAGCTGCCAGTGTGCATTTTTACCCCCCACCCCTTATGCTCTACCAGTACTTCCAAAGCTTTAAATTTGAGAATGCTCTTATAAATTCAAAGAGGCTTTTAATAGAATGCCTTGCCATTTTATTTATCCCAAATTGTAGCAATGTACTCACTAAGCGTGCTAGTATTTCTTCTCCTTCTTCAGTTGTTTACTAAGTAAGGTTCTCAATGTGCCTGAGTTTTTAATAGGGTTAGAAGAAATACTGCTGATCTCAAAATGACAAGGCATTCTTATCCTGGGCGAACATATTTGACTTTTGCAAAGACAAGGGAAAAGATGCTTTTTAAACACTTGTGATTCATTGATTGTCTTATTTCTGGGAGAGAGCTAAAAACAATTGGCTTTTTTTTTTTGGTACTTTTTATTGAGATGAAATTTATGTAATGTATCATCCACCATTTTAACCATTTTAAAGTGTGCAGTTCAGTGGCTTTTAGTATATTTGCAATGTTGTACAACTATCACCACTATATGATTCCAGAACATTTCCATCAGCCCAAAAAAGTAGCCCCATACCTTCCAATTCCCTTTTCTCCTTACCCACTAGCAACCATTCATCTACTTTCTATCTCTATGGATTTGTCTACTGTAGACTTTTCATATAAATGGAATCATATAATATGTGGACTTCTGTGTCCTTTCAAGGTTCAGCCATGTTGTAGCATGTATCAGTGCTCCATTCCTTTTTATGGCTGAGTAATATTCCATTGTAAGTATATATCATGTTTTGTTAAACTACACATCAGTTGATGGACACTAGGGTTGTTCCTACTTTTTAGCTTTTATAAATAATGCTGTTATGAACATTTGTGTACAAGTTTTTTGTGACCATATGTTTTCAATTCTCTTGAGTAGAATTTCTAGGTCATATGGTAACTCTATCTTTAACTTTTTGAGGAATTGCTGAACTGTTTTCCACAGTGGTTGCACCGTTTTATATTTCCATCAGTAATGTGTGAAGGTCCCAATTTTGCAATATCTTTACCAACACTTGTTATTTTCTGTTCTTTTTTTTTTTTTTAATTCTAGCCATCCTGAGTGTGAAGTGGTATCTCATTGTGGTTTTGATTTTCTTTCCCCAGTGACTAATGATATTGAGCATCTTTTCATGTACTTATTGGCCATTTGTTTATCTTCCTTGAAGGAATGTCTATTTACAAACTTTGTCCATTTTTAAATTGTGTTGTTTGTATTTTGATTGTTGAGTTGTAAGAGTTCTTTATATATTCAGGATACTGGGCCCTTATCAGATAACTAAGTGATTTGCAAATATTTTTTCTCATTCCATTATTGTCTTTTCACTTTCTGGAAAGTGTCCTTTGATGCACGAAAGAATTAGTAATTTTTGTACTGTAGTCATGTTCTATTAAGAGTATAATCTTCAACGAAAGCTGTTTTACATGGATAAGGCTATTATCTTTAATTCAGTTCAAGTCCTAAGTATCATGGGCATATAAAATACTTATTGAAACAATGGGTTTTAACCCTTTTTTGACTCAAACCCCTTTGAGAATTTGGTAAATGCTATAGTTTCTGTCCCAACAAAAAAACTACATTTCAACAAGGTTTTGCTTAAAATGTTAGGGGTTCCCATACCTCTTGAGACATCTCTTAGGGATCTAAAGACTCCTGATCTAAAGAAATGAAATTCATCTAACACCCAATGGGCATCCCCATGTAATTTAATCCTTAGGAGAGAGATCTGTTCACTGAGGTCTTTTCCTGATGATCTTCCCACTCTCTTGGCTTCAAATGCCATCTATTCCTGAATGAGTCCTGGATCTAATCCTTAGACATCACCCTTCTCTGAGCTGTAGACATACAGCTCTGCCTTCCTCCTGGGCATCTTCCCTTGGATGACTAATGAGCACATGTTCACAGCAGAACTCAATACTTACTCCCTGATCCGTACCCTACTCATTTATTGCTAAAATGTCACTTCCTCCTCCTAAGTATCTGTTAAGTCCATCTTTCTCTCCTGAAAAACTGCAAAAGGCCTCTGCCTCTACTTTGTCCTTGTCTAATCCACCCTCAGCACTACTGCCAAAGTTATCTTTTTTTTTTTTT